TTTATGGTGAAACAGTTCCAAAACCCTGGTTAAGATCAAACCCGTTTTTACCGACTACAGCTCTGTAATAAAAACACACAAAGGACTATTGACTATTTAATCATTCAGAGGCACGTAGCAGCAAACTCATTTTCTAGCATGTAGGGCAGTGTATATGGGACTGCATCATGTTTACTATACTTGAAGGGAACCCTAGAAGGCTGATATTATATGTGCTGGCTTACTGGCATGTTAAAGTGGAACAAAGTCATTTATAATGTCATTAGTTACACTGGTGCTTTTCCCACAAGCTATGGTGTAATCTAATCTAGCAATCTATAGTGTGGTGTATGTTCTCACCACCTTATCAGAAAGTAAAGTAAAGATAGACAATATATCTGATGCAATGTTGCAGTGTTGACATGAATAATTAAATGAAGGAATCCAGGAATAGCAGTTAGGAAAGATTTCCTTTATTGATCTCAAACAAATCCGATTCATAGTCCCTTTCCACAACAGACAATTGAATTTGTCACAGCGAGAAAAGCACAGGTGGAAGTAGTAACCTTAACAATGTTGCAGTCCAGCACTTATTGCATTGCAACGCAGCAAATGATGTTAGATACACCCGTGTTTGACAAGTAAAAATAGCTGCTGTTAAAAATGTTTATTTAACTTTAATTTTACTTTACATTTTATTCCATGGTCATATGTAGTAAAACAGATATTGTGATATTTTTGGTGTTTCTTCTTTTTTGTGATCTCTTGGCTCTGGCTTTAATTTTTCCATCATCCTCTTTTGCCTTAATGTGGTCTAATGCATCAGATTCCAGGTGTTGTGTCCAAGACTGGTGTAATGGACCTCCTGCTACATCTCCTAGGAGGCAAGTTTATGTGAGTGTTTGTGATGCAGCATTTGAACGCGATCCAAGCACGATCACATATGGGGTTTTCAACGGACCAGTGACAAACAAAACAATATGGCAGCAAAATAGAGCTCTGTTTGTGAGATTCTCATCTATAAAATGACAAATTAGCATCCAAGAGGATAGGACGTTTGCCAATCCTCCCTCCATCTTAATTTGTAGTCCCCTTCCTCTCTTTTTGAACTGCATCAGTGGCACAGAAGCACTTCCTAAAGTAATTTAATATAATGGCAGCAGCTTGCTGGCACAAATGGAGGGAAGTGAATCATCTTGTTAGCTTATCTTCCCCCCCCCCCACCAGCCTTCTGTGGCTCTGTAGCAGAGCAAGGGGGGGCCCTCAGCTGCCCCGCCAACCAAGCATCTGACACTGCAGCCGGCTGCCAGACTAATACAAGCCACACACACAACATACACACAGGCTTTTAAATACACCCTTCATACAATCATACACTGATAGAGAAATCTGCTCAGAGACACAAACAACCACCTAATTCATGAACAGAATGCATGAATCATATGTACACAAAAACACCTGCAAAGACATTATTCAACTATGATCTGTAATTGGCAGAATTCCCCATCAGCATGTTGTAAACAAGATAACATGAAGGAAACGTGTTTTGCTGGTCCCATTCGGACAGACCAACATGTTACGATTCATCTGTGGAAGGACAGGGAAGATTCTGGTTGTTTGGGGATGGCTCAGGGCAAACACCTGTTAATCTGGAAGCACTCATTGTAATTACACACACAGTACACAGTACACTCTGTGCACTGTGTTCACAGTACACTCTGTGAAGATAGTGGACTATCCATTACAATTATGTGACCAGGTGGCTCTGCCCCCCCTTTATCTCTTAAAATCTTCAATTTATTTGTTTCTTTAATTTTTCAAATGTGTTTAACTCTTCAGTCTAACTTCACAGTTCCTAGGACTTAATAAATCAATCCCTTCGTGATAAAAGTAGCATCATCTTATGTGTTTGGTTGGTCTGTCAAATCATCCATTTTAACTTTAAAAGCAATGTATGTCAATAATAATAATCAATGTAGAAAATACATGGTGTCGGTTCAAACCTAGGGCCAACATATGATTTAGCCTTACAGGTTGGTGTTGCCTCCTAGCCTCTCTGAAGAACTGTATGATGATGTTGAGAGTAGAGAGACATTATTTTATTCAGAAAATGTCAGGTATAAGCCTTTTATTGATAGACATGTCTACTGAAGTGTCCACAGGCAAGAGAGTTGATCTGTTAGATCTTCACATTTGTTGATGTTGTGCTCAGGTAGCCCTGTCGAAAGGAGTAAAGAGAGAAGAGACTGACCCAGGGTCACTTTATAATGACACTCCACTAAATAAGAATTGATGAGCTAATTTAACAAGTTTGCAATAAACACCGAGATAATTTCATGATGAAACTGATATTGTTAGGTGGTTATGTAAGAACTTTACAATCATTCCAGTGTGGCCTTAGAGATCTCCAGAGGGTGTTGCCAAAGGGTAATTTGTTTGATTAGATTAAGGCACAAATCATACGGGATCAATAGCGGGAGAAATTAGGAATACTTAATTTCCGATTTCCACGTTTGCAATTGAGTTGAGTAGTCTGTAGTGTTATCAATTAAAAAGCCATTGGAATATGCAATCACTTTCAAGAACTGTGGATCAATTTCTCTGGGCTCAAACAGAAACCTCTCATGCATAATATAAGCAAACAAAGTAATTTTACACAATTGGTATTCTTTTAGTATGAATCATGACTTAAACTACTAATATATATTAGCCAAAAAAAGATTTGTTCGGGCATTTTGATCTGCACATTCAATCTGTGAAACTGTTACCTGCCAAACAATGCTATTTGCTTGGTGGGAATGCCATCTTGTGGTTATTCTCTATTCTTGCCGGCTGATCTGTCTTAGTGATGTGGGACATATGATGCAATATTACCAGTAATATAACAGCTTAATATTACCAGTAAACTAGTACAGTCTTGGCATTCATTACCATGTGCATCTTTGTATGAGAAAATAGGTACAGTATATGTAGAACAACCTCTTGCCAACAGCTCATGGTAGGCTTCGGATGGATCAATACGTGGCTCTCAACAAAATGAAGCACTCACTTGTATAAAGGATATGTCGCTACTAGAGAACGTATTGGTAAAACACCAGACACTGTATATGTTATACAGTATGGCCTATTACCTTAAGAGATACAGTTTATTTTGTAGGATTCTCTAAAAAAGTCATACTTCACTGTACCGGAGAGGTTCACTGAAATATTTTCAGTTCTTCATGATTGCCATTTTGCTACAATTTGGTGATTTGTTGTCATTTTTTTTCTTTTACGTATCCCAAATAAATCAGTCAATCATCATAATTTGTTTATGAGTAACCATTTTGTTTTATATATGATCGTGTCATAATCATGCCTTGCTATCATTTCTTAATAATATTATGATGAAGTTCATCTGTAGCGTGGTTAAGGTAAATTATTTTTACTTAAGTTAAATATACTCCTTAGTTAGTATAGTTGGTCACATGAGGCCTTTAACACCCAAGGAGGACGTTTGCCACATGACTTTGTTTTGTTATGTAACCCTGATTGATCTTATGATCAAAAAAGGGGAAATGCGAGGGAAAATGTCCCTTCTTTACGCAGAACTCTCTTCACAGTGACCTTGCTGTTTGTGACTCATCAACATCCTCCCTGCACTCAACAGAAACACAGACTGCTCTCTTATGAGCCCATATTGAACCCATTCTTTAATGAACAAACAGAACTCGGTCCATTTTAATTAAAACTATTAATAATTTCTTCCACATGTATGATGTGGGGTTTTTGCTGCATAACACTGATGTAATTTCTATCGATTCAACCTGCAGCATCAATCATGTATTGCTTATTTCAACTTAATGCAGTGGTTGAAGAAGTATTTAGATCTTTTACTTAAGTAAATTTAGCAATATCCCACTGTGAAAATACTCCACTACAAGTAAAAGTCCTGCATTACTTTATTTAAGTAAGGTTTGTAAGTAGTATAAACTAAATGCGTGTAAAGTTTAAAAAGTACTCATATGCAGAAAAATAGGCCCTATCATTTTTTTTTTTTTTTTTACCATTATGATAGTTCTGTATTACTATTACTGCATTCATGTATATGTTGCATTTTACTGCTGTGGTTATTAAAGGTTGTGCTAATTTTAACTACTTTATATACTGTTGGTTAGTTTAATCATCAGAAATGAAACATATTGTATGATATCATGA